GCAATCCACTCACCTCAGCCTCCCAAAGGCGCGGGATTACAGGCTGAGCCACCGAGTCTAGTTTTTGTGTGAATCAGTTTTGATTTTAAATACAGAAAAAGTGTGGTTGCAAGAAAAATTCACCACCTTGTTCAAGTTTATAGAACATACATATATTTATTTTGAGTCAGGGTCTCACTCAAACTGGGTGCAACAGAATGTTCACAGATCACCAGAGCCTCCAACTCCTGGCTTCAAGCAATACACCCTCCTCTCCTCAACCTCCTGAGTAGCTGGGACTACAGGTGTGCATCACCATGCCCAACTAGTTTATTTTTTTGTAGAAACAAGGTCTTACTATATTGCCTAGGCTGGTCTTAAACTCATGGGCTCAAGCAATCCTACTGCCTCAGCCTCCCAAAGTGCTGAGATTACAGGCATGGGCCACTGCACCCAGCATATAGAATAACTTTCTTTGACAAGATAGGCCTAAAATGTGGCAAAATTTTAAGAAACACCAGTGTCAAAGAGATCAACATATGTAACACAAGAACGTTTGCCCAATACTGTCATCAAAGATCCTGAGGTATGCAAAAAATCTAGTTATTAACTTTGTAAGTCAACTCCTGAATATATGCAAAAATTACAAATCCTACTTCTTTTAGACTGGAGTGCAGTGGCACGCTCCCTGCCACTGCAGCCTCGACCTGCTGGACTCCAGTGATCCTTTGCCTCAGCCTTCCAAGTAGCCGGAATTACATGTGTGCGCTACCACACCTGGCTAATTTTTGATTTATTGTAGAGATGTTTTGTTTGTTTGTTTGTTTGTTTTTTTGAGTTGGAGTCTCACTGTGTCGCCCAGACTGGAGTGCAGTGGCCGCTCCCGGCCACTGCAGCCTCGCCTGCTGGGCTCCAGCGATCCTTCTGCCTCAGCCTTCCGAGCAGCCAGAATTACAGGCACGCACTACCACTGATTTTTTGATTTATTGTAGAAATGAGGTCTCGCTGCCCAGGCGGGTCTCGAACCCGCGGGTTCAGGCAATCCACTCACCTCAGCCTCCCAAAGGCGCTGGATTACAGGCTGAGCCACCGAGCCTGGCTTTTTTTTTTTGAGTTGGAGTCTCACTCTGTCACCCAGACTAGAGTGCAGTGGCCACTCCCGGCCACCGCAGCCTTGACCTGCTGGGCTCCGGTGAACCTTCCACCTCAGCCTTTCAAGTAGCTGGAACTACAGGCACGCGCTACCACACCCGGCTGATTTTTGATTTATTGTAGAGATGAGGTCTCGCCAAGTTGCCCAGGCAGGTCTCGAACCTGTGGGCTCAGGCAATCAACTCACCACAGCCTCCCAAAGTGCTGGGATTACAGGCTGAGCCACCGAGCCAAGGTCTCGCCAAGTTGCCCGGGCAAATCTCGAACCCACAGGCTCAGGCAATCCACTCACCTCGGCCTCCCAAAGCGCTGGGATTACAGGCTGAGCTACCGAGCCCGGCAAAATCATACTTCTTTAAAAAAATATATTTGAATTTAAATCCTGAACAATCCTTACAACAGGTATAACTTTCAGGCTAATATTGAGTGATATCAATTTGAATTATATGAGGATATCTGACTAGAGAGGCTATGTACACATAATTTCATTTCAGTAAATATTTGTAGAGTGGTATGGGATGATGTTAAGAGCTCAGACTCTAGAATTTGCTAGCTTTAGATTGGAATCCGAGTTCTCCCATCAATTAGTTGTTTGACCTTTTGGCAACTTCCCTAAACCATGTTTTTGTTTCTCTTTAAAACTGGGATTATAAACTGGGCTTGGTGGCTCAGCCTGTAATCCCGCGCCTTAGGGAGGCTGAGGTGAGTGGATTGCCTGAGCCCACGGGTTTGAGACCTGCCTAGGCAGCAGACCTCATCTCTACAATAAATCAAAAAATCAGCCGGGCGTGGTAGTGCATGCCTGTAATTCCGGCTAATTGGAAGGCTGAGGCGGATGGATCGCCGGAGCCCAACAGGTCGAGGCTGCAGTGGCCGGGAGCGGCCACTGCACTCCAGTCTGGGCGACAGAGTGAGACTCCAACTCAAAACAAAAACAAAAAACTGGGATTATAATATCTGTACCACCAGATTGTTTGAGAATTAAATCAAATAAATTTGTATTCAATAGTAAGGAGTATTACTTATTATGATCTTGAATAGACTACCTGTTGAGAACTACAATAAATGTTGGGGATAAAAGATGTATGACATGATATTTGCCATCAATGTGCTCATGATATAGATGGGAAAGTATTAAAAAAATCTTGATACTGTACTAAGCCAACAGAATAGTTACGTTGGAAATAAATGTAAGGCTATGACATGTTCAGATAGGAAATTTGGGTAGTTTGTACAGAAGGTTGGAGAGAGTGAATCATAGACAAGACTAATAAGGAGCCTACAATAATCTGGGCAACTACATGGCATAGTAATACAGGTTATACTGGAGTATTGTTCAATACAGGCTGAAAGGCAGTACAATGGAGCTTTTCTGTGCCTAGAACCATGAACTCCAGAAAATAACTTGGAAGATAACACTTTAATTATCTTTCATCTTTACCTTAACTGTTTAGGGGATTCTAAGGAACTGTTTAGGGGATTCTAAGGAACTGTTTGACCTTTAGGCACCATTTTACAGAGGACACCAAGGCTCAGAACGGAAGGCCCATCACCGCATTATTAACAGTGGCAAAATTCATATTGCAGTCTATGAAAATGGCACCCTTTGGAATACAACAAATATAAAAGATGGCTCCTAAAGTTGTGCCCTGGCAAAACAGGTTACAGAATAATGGGAGGCAGTGGAATTAATCTCTATCTAAAAACCCATGCTTTTGCCACTATATCATACCATCTCTAATCATGATACCTTATTTATGGATATGTAGCATATTTAAGGTTAAACACTGAATTAAAGCAAAGAAACAAACACATCCCAGATGTAGGTTTTTTCACAAGAACCTGATATGCTTAGTAAAATGAATTTAATGGAATCCTGTATTAGTTACTTAACAATAAAATAAGGTGCTTGATATAGTCTTAAACCGTTACTTAATAGGGAAAAAAAGGATAAAACCATTTACTTTGGATTTACCCCAAACAGATAAAAGAGTTTTACAAAAAAAACCAAAAAAAACCCTCAAAGGACTAACCACAAAAATTAAGATCATGAGTCAATTTTCTACAGACGTTTCTTGAATAATCCCAAAATTTTAAGGCCAATTTCCCTAGAAAATGCTTTTATAGTTATGCTGGCAAAAATACCCAACCTTAGTAAAAAGCACATACTTAGCAACTAATTCTTTAAAAAAACTATTTAATCCACATTTATGCCAAGAACACTACAATTTACAAAAGTTTCATCCATACTCTCTTGCCCTGTGCCTGTCCACACTGGAGGAACATTTCTTTGTGCTGAGAATTTGAGGCTCTAAATATTCTTTGTCCAGGAAAGAGCAAGGTATAAAAATATAAGACAAAAAGAATATTGGCTCACCGTATGCAAGAGGCCAGCCATTAAGAGTTGTTGTCAACAGGATAAAAGGGAAAACTGACTAGAGATCCTTTGGATGAGTAGCTAAAATGTGATCAAAAGGGGAAAAGAGGAAGCAGCATAAACACAACAGAAATGAGATTCACAGAACTGCAGAAGCAGAAGAAAGTTCAGATTTAGAAATGTCTAATTTGACTGATGATGAATTTCAGAGTAGTTGGTGACCTCTCCAAGATCACATAATTACTGCCAGAGTCTGGACTAGAATACAAGTTGCCTGACTTCCAGATGAGTGTTCTTTTTTCATTCATTATAACTGCCTGTTTTTTACCTGTCCCTAACAACTTGAAGTGGTCCTCCTAACTCTCTTTGCCCCACAGTGTGCCCTTTGGGACAAGTAGAGGAACAGAATTCTGGACTATGTAGACCATGTAGAGCTACTGTCGTAACAGTGGATGAGACAATATTTCAAACAATGACTGCACTAAAGTTCATTTAGCGGTGGAAAACAGAGGAGTAATACAAAAGAAGGAAATTCTATAGACAATAAGAGAAGCACAAGAGGAAATATTCCCTTCTTTTGTACTGTTATTTTATTTTGTTAAGTCCATATATTATATAAAACATAACAGGAAAAATTAACAAATTTATAAAATAAATTGAGGTGTTTGGGTGAAAAAAATACAAGAGCTTTGCCTTCATGTCTATAGATCTCTCAATATGTTGTTGATCTTACACCTTAGATGCCAAATGAAGATATCTAGCTTGAAATAAAAATTGGTATGCTGCAAAGTTAAGCCATAGTTAGTTTAATGATGGGCCAGGAAATTATATATTCTTTAAACCTTATCCTTAAATATTGGCTATTACAAATGCTGATATAGCAAAATGCAAGCTTTTATCAGATAGCAAGAGGGAAACTTGAGTGAACGAATGCAACTTACCTCCAAGTCCTCTGAAAGGAGGTGAAAAATAAATACTGTGTTTTACCAGTGCTCCCCCAAAGCATTATTCTAAGCATGCAGGAGGGTGTTGTGAGCAGCTACAACAGTAAGATCCAACCCAGAGGTAGGTTCAAGGCCAAGAATAGGAGAGTGATTGAAGAAATCCTCCTAAGGCCAGTACCATTTCATAGAATGCCCATCTGTGCTGGGGGGATGAGTCTATGGCCTATTTTCTTCTGATTCAAAAGGACAGTCCCAATTTCAACCTTGCTGAAAAAAAGAGGGATTTTTTTTTGTACCTGCTATTAAGAACAGCTAGGATAAAAGGTAAGGCTGGCACAAAATTATTTAGCAAGCACATGCTAGCTATTCCAGTCTGAAACCTACCAAACTGTTAAATCAAGGGAAAATAAAAGGCTGAAGATAAAGCTGTTATTCCTCAAGATAAGGGAACAAAATCTTACAACAAGAGGGATTAGGCACTCACTTAACTCTCTATGGAGAACATCCTTCTCAAGCTAGGTAGAAGGTGAGGAAGAACATTACCAAAGGCTGACCAGGCCATTTGGAGACCAAAAGGAAAGGAAAAAAGGCATTTAGGAAGAAAGCTAGTAAAAGAAATTCTTCTGGGTCTGATTAGGTAAGTGAATCTAAGGCAACCACACCAAAGAGACGTTACCCCTTACTTTAGCATGAATCAAAATATCTCCAGACATTTTAAACCCATATAAATGTATGAAAAACATGATAATTAACTAGGCAAATTAAAATCAAACCCCTACTGGTAAAATCTCTTCTGATCTGAAATCCAAGATACTCACTTTTCATTAATTCTGTGCATTATTGAGGGGAGGGGAAAAAAAGGGAACAAATGTAAAGATTTGTTTTATTTCTACTGGAGAAAGGAGGAGGATAAATAGAACTGTTTTCCAATTTGCTCTCCACTGTATACACACATACCCACACGCATACATAAACATACATACACCAAAAAGATCCCAACAAAAACAAAAAGCCAGAATCAAAAACCAAAACACCCTCAAACTGCACCAGTACTTCATATTTTGACCAAGAGAATAGATCTGGGAAGAAGTGCAAAATGCAAAATCAAATGACCGAAAAATGCTGAATAAACAGCATTATTAATATACAAAATATTTATATTACTGAACTAGTAACAGGTGATGTTCTCCGTGTCTGTAAAACTTTGGAACCACATAGCTGATTTGTTAAATCTAGTCCATGCCAGCTTCCAAAAACGAGAAAAAAATTTTAGTTAGCTTCATTCTTTGAGGCCTCATCAAAATTTTCTACGAGATCTGGAAAAAAAAAAAAAAAGGTAAGTCAAAGAATACAAAACAGGAAAAAGAGGTAAATGGAACTTCTAATTTCTAACTTCAATAAAAACAAAATTAGTGCAAACAAAATTAGCCTGAAAACACACAGATCAATAGGCAGAAATGAACCGGTGGCACTGTACTCATAATGATTTGTCTGTTTAAAACAGTAAACCTAAGAAAATGTTCTTTTTTTGGCTATGTGAACTACTAAAGTGACTAGTTTTCATGTCAATTATATTACAGAAATGTCATAACAATAACTATGCAAATGTATAATCACAGAGATTTCAACTTAAGTGCAGACAGCAAAGCTTTGTACAACAATTTCTAAGTTCTAAAGGGGAGCTTTTATTCTTTTTCATTAGATCCTATCCACATTATTGTGAATCATTTAAACACAGGACCTTACAATAAACAAAAACCTGAAAATGACCTATGTAATGAGTGAAATGAGATAAAAAGGATTCTAAAAATCTTATCTAAAGAAATGTCACTTACCTGGAACATCATCATCCTCCTCATCAATGTCTTCTGGTTTTGGTGCTTTGCTATCCAAGACTGCAAGAAGTTTATTTTAATATTAGTCATTGAGAACAAAGCCCTCTACAGAACACTTACAATGTTTATCCTTTTTTTCTCTCTAAATCTTGTACAGTTGATCAAAAAAGCTAAATATTGTCAATATAAAATCCCAATCTTTTTTTTTTACTTAAGTAACACTAAAATCAATAAAACTTTACCTTAGATAAACACTAATACAGCTGGCAGTTTCAGTATGTAGTGAAGATAAAATTTATTTGCAAAATGCAATAATTCAGATGAGTTTCAGTAAAAAGACATTATAGTAAGTTTATAGTGGCCATATTCTCCAAATAAGAACTTAATATTCAAGATTATTTTCCTGTTTCTTTTGACATAACAAAATATCTAGCTATGTAGTATGGGCACTGAAATAATAGGCTCTTTAATTTTTAGGGGTAACAAGACACACTTGAAATCAGGACTATCTTGAAAATTCAGAACTTATGGTTGCCATATCTATTGTGCAATCAATAATATTTAATAAAAATATAGATGTCTGATAACAATATTTTCTGGCCAGGCGTGGTGGCTCACACCTGTAATCCCTGCATTTTGGGAGGGGGAGGTAAGAGGATTGCCTGAGCCCAGGGGTTCAAGACCAGCCTGGGTAACTTGGCAAGACCTTGTCTCTACAATATATCATAAAAATTAGCCAGGTGTGGTGGCACATGCCTGTGGTTCCAGTTACTTGGAAGGCTGAGGCAGAAGGATCACCTGAACCCAGCAGGTTGAGGCTGCGGTGGCCATGAGCATGCCACTGCACTCCAGCCTGGGCGTCAGAGTGACTTTGACTCAAAAAAAAAAAAAGAAAATCTGATGGTCATTAATTAGCAGTGAATATCAAATTCACTGTTTAAAATTGCAGCCTGTAGATCCTGGCATTTTTTAGGTACCCACAACTCAGTTTACCAAAATGTTTCTGAATATTCTATATGCCACACCACATAATTACTAAAGAAACAAATTCAAAATTTTATGATGCACACAGTGACTTTATAGAAAGTAAAATAAATATAGACAAATCCAACTTAAGATGGTACAACTTTTAAATTATTAGGTTCCTCAATTAAGGTGGGGAGGAAAAGAATTACCAAGGTAAAATACCTACCTTGCCGTGGGAACTGTTCAGCTAACTTCCTAAGGCTTGTTAAGCTGTCAGCACCAAGCTGACTTAATATTCCAGGAAGCATTTCTGTGATTGGTTTGGCTTCTGCATGACCAGTAATTGCAAAGGTGTTAGCAGAGAGGGAAGCCTGGACTTTGGGATTGTTGAAATGAATAACTGTCCCATCATCTTTAATCATGTTCACCTGTATGATCACAGAAAAAAATGTACTTCACATGCTAGGTACAACTAAAACAATATACTTGAAAAGAGCTATTTAGCTGGTTATGGTTTTTTACATGATAGTTATCCAGTATCAAGGTAATAATTAGCTAAGGCATGGGCAAGGGTAGAAAAAGACCCCAGTAACAAAGTAAAATGGTATACAGATGACATAAATTATTAGGATGGTCAAGACATAGTCATTTATTAATGAAATTATTCATTATCTTACTCAATTTATACTATCAAACAAAATCAGTGCAATTATCATGGGGGGGTAGTACTTACTTACAGGACTGGTTGTAAAGGAGAAATAGTATATGGTAAAAAATAACCACTGAAAATCCATAAAGAACACTCAGAAAGTTAATCACTCAGTTGCTAGATTCCTTCAAAACTTAGTAAATTTACAAAAAGTTAAACTTGTTCTCATCATGTCATTCTTGTAGATTTTATCAGTACTCCTAATTCTTAAGGGTAGGTACTCAACAACCTTTAATAAACCCTACAAAGGTCAAAGAAGCTCTCCTACCCACTTGCCTGGCTACCTGAACATACTTTGCCAATAACTGGAAAACTTTTAAAATTGCCCTCACATTTCACCAGTATGAACTAGCTATTTCAGATTTGATTTCATCCATTGCCCACGGTTGAACACGTGCTACTTAAATTGTTACTTTTCTCTCTCACTCATGTACTTTGTATATTTTTGGTAGAGTTGAATCTGCGTAAGTTAAATGTATAAAGAATGTGATTCTACTGTGTAGCTGATTCCACTGGGTAAGTTACCTTGGTGGTAACATGCTTATTATATAAAAAAGTTAAGAGAGTTAATTCTTGGCTACTTTAGAAGCATTTCATGATCCATCCAAAAACTGCCCTTGTCACAATCAAGCAGAGATGCTGAGTGTTCTCCATGGTCATTGGGAAGTGGGCTTTTCTTCCTCAGAGGTGATCACCACTATTGACAGCACCAGAAAGGAAGGGGAAGAAAGGGGCTTCTAAATTTCAGGCAAGACCTGGAACACAGAGAAAATAAAGGCAAATCCCTGGAAAATTATAACTAAACCCCACAAATGATTTCCCCAATTTTGTCTAACAAAAATCACTATTCCACCAATGCTATACCTTTCCTTCTCTGAGTATTATACTTAAGTTTCTATTAATTATGTAATAACACAATAAGCATTTAATCCAGCTGTTCTGAACAAATGGCATTATGAGTTAATTTATGTTAACTTTAGAAAAGATGGATTATACAGTTCTGAAGATAATTACAGTTTTGGTAGAAAAGTTAAACGTGAAAGTGGCTGAAATCTGGGCTTGAGGATGACAGTGGATGTGAAATGGCATGTTGCTCTGGATCGAGTGTAGAGTCACATAATTTTAGTATGAGAAAACAGCAAAGAAAGATATGGTAGAACTGTATTTCCCAAATAAAGACCAAATTACATGGTTTATTAAGGGATTTCTACTATACCGCCAAATACAAAGGAATTTGAGATATTTTAAATTTGTAGACATTAAAATCACAAGATATTTGTTTTTTTGAGTTGGAGTCTCACTCTGTCGCCCAGACTGGAGTGCAGTGGCCACTCCCGGCCACCGCAGCCTCGACTTGCTGGGCTCCGGCGATCCTTCCGCCTCAGCCTTCCGAGTAGCCGGAATTACAGGCATGCGTTACCACGCCCGGCTGATTTTTTTTTTTTTTTTTTTTATTGTAGAGATGAGGTCTTGCCGCCCAGGCGTGTCTCAAACCCGCGGGCTCAGGCAATCCACTCACCTCAGCCTCCCAAAGGTGCGGGATTACAGGCTGAGCCACCGAGCCCGGCAGATATTTGAAATCCATTATTTTTCATAAAAACTCAGGCTATATATCTGTTGAACTTAGAGGTCTTACAGTTCAACTCCTTTATGTACACTAAATAAATACTGAAGACAAGAGCTTTTGGTTAAGTAGCCTGCCCAAGAATAAATAGCTGGTTAAGTGCAAACTGAGAAATTTAACATGGGTTTCCCAACTTGCTCTTTAGTTTCTTTCCTACTATGTCATTCTCATGCTTAAAACCGTTATTTGCCTATAAAAACTCAGTTCTATGGCCCCATAAGAGTTTGCCAGATCATTATTTATCCCAGAATATAGGCCAAATGGAAAATACAAAAGAAAAACAGCACAAGTATAGGATAATATATATCTTACTGGCTACAAAATAAGAGACTAACATGGAGCCAAAAACAATAATGAATTTTCATGAATTTTCTGTTGAAGCTTCTCTTCCAAAGGCTAAATGTTAAGTTATATTTTACATCCTCATATAGCTCTTCCTAGTTTGAAATGTGGTGTTTGAGTTTAGTGTAAAAAGCAAGATGAATTCCACCTCAGATTGTGAAATAAATTTTTTCATGGTTGTTTTGAGTGGTCTTAAAAAAATGTAGCTTCATTAATAGAAAGATCCAGAAAGGGGTGGAGAGTTTAGTTAATTTTAGAATACAGAGAATGAAATACTAGAAGTTCAAAAGGCCAGAATATTTTATTTCCACCTCACATTCCTTTCTTCCTACTGAGAAAAATGACATGGTTATATAAGGCTCCTGGGCACAAGCTATTAGAAACTATCAAATGATGAATTGCTTGGCTGAGCAAGATCAGTTAGAGACCTCCCCTATTCTTTTAGGCAAGAGAAAGGAAAAGGAACTTGAACTTGCTAAAGTCACAAAGCAAATTGTATGCATTTCACAGACTTCACTTCTTCCAGTGATTTTTTCTTTTTTTTTTTTGAGTTGGAGTCTCACTCTGTCGCCCAGACTGGAGTGCAGTGGCCACTCCCGGCCACCGCAGCCTCGACCTGCTGGGCTCCGGTGATCCTTCCGCCTCAACCTTCCGAGTAGCTGGAATTACAGGCGCGCGCTACCATGCCCGGCTGATTTTTTGATTTATTGTAGAGATGAGGTCTCACTGCCCAGGCGGGTCTCGAACCACGGGCTCAGGCAATCCACTCACCTCAGCCTCCCAAAGGCTCGGGATTACAGGCTGAGCCACCAAGCCCGGCTTCTTCCAGTGATTTTATGCTGTTGGATTAAATAAGTCATATAATCCATATACAGAATAAGAACAAGGAACAGCTAAGTAAAAAAGACTACTGAACTAGCTACTATACCAGCACTTAGGTCCCCTATTCAACCAAATATCCCCTTTATGTCAAAATATCCTGAGTAAAGGATGCTACTTGAGCTATGGAGAGGGAGGCATTTTGAGACCACAATCCAAAACACAAGATGCCCTTACTTTCATTTTTTTGCTCTAACAATAATGATGTGTCTTATAGTAAGCAGGAAATGTTTTGTCCTCTCGTGCCTAGTGCATTTATTTACATGTGCTGTTTAAAAGAACCATTTCCTGTTTGTGAAATTCCCCTTCACTCAAAACTTAGGTCAGATGCTTCTTTTTTCTGTGAAAGCTTCAGGTGGTTTATGCACCTACGGCACATCATAGGTACTGCTATTATATAGCATTGTCTTGTATAATTGTGTTTGCAAATATTTTTCCCTACAAGGTGAATTTCTTGAGATCAGATTATCATGCCTTATTAGACATAGTACTCCAAGTGTCTAGCACATAATAATCACTCAAATATGAATAAATGGGCACCTCCTATACAATTTATTCTAAAAGCATGGCTGCCGTGAGACTTTAGCTCCTCAAATACTAGACGATGGGTCATATCAAGGCTTAAAAATAGCACTAATAGTGCTCCCAGTGAGGATGCCCAGAACCTCTTGGGCTGTATATTTGGTCTGATTTTTCCTATAGTCTAACCTTTCAGAATCAGTCCCAACTGCCCTGCAGAATTCATGGCCGTTTTAAGTCACTCGTGGAAACTGCTGGGTGGCCCCTTCATGCTGCTATGGAATACCTTAACAACCTCTGCCACTGCTGGCCACAGTACATACATTAGTCACAGCAGCCTTCTATCTAGTGAATCTGATGCTTACTTTACTCCTACACAGAAGTAAATTTTTATGGCTAGAGAAGGCTCACAAAGTCATACTTGACTCCACAGTGCTTGCTAATAGCTGCACTCTCAGTTCAGAGAGAAGGTTTCAATACGTCTATGTGATTTTTTTGTATACAAGTCCCTACTAAGCCAGTTAGCTATAGTTCTCCTTCCTGTATATAATGGTACTTCACTTAAATGTTTATCAGGAAATTCATCTTTTTTTTTTTGAGTTGGAGTCTCACTGTCGCCCAGATTGGACTGCAGTGGCCGCTCCCAGCCACCGCAGCCTCGACCTGCTAGGCTTCGGTGATCCTTCCGCCTCAGCCTTCCAAGTTGCCGGAATTACAGGCATGTGCTACCACGCCCGGCTGATTTTTTTATTTATTGTAGAGATGAGGTCTCGCAGCCCAGGTGGGTCTCGAACCCGCGGGCTCAGGCAATCCACTCACCTCTGTCTCCCAAAGGCACGGGATTACAGGCTGAGCCACCGAGCCCGGCTTTTTTTTTTTTTTTTTTTTTTGAGTTGGAGTCTCACTCTGTCGCCCAGACTGGAGTGCAGTGGCCGCTCCCGGCCACCACAGCCTCGACCTGCTGGGCTCCTGCGATCCTTCCGCTTCAGCCTTCCAAGAACTACAGGCGTGCTACCACACCCGGCTAATTTTTTTGATTTTTATTGTAGAGATGAGGTCTCACCAAGTTGCCCAGGCGGGTCTCGAACCCGCGGGATCAGGCAATCCACTTGCCTCAGCCTCCCAAAGTGCGGGATTACAGGCTGAGCCACCGAGCCTGGCCCTTTTTTTTTTTTTTTTAAAAAGAGACAGGTTCTTACTATGTTAGCTAGGCTTGTCTCCAATTCATGGCCTCAAGCCATCCTCCTGAGTAGCTGGGATTACAGGTGCAAGTCACCATAGCTGGCCTAATATGTTTCTTCTATCCTAAGTCATATACATATATATTTCATTATTTTACTGTTTCTGAAAACCATATACATGTTTTCATGTATACACTTAATGCAGTAGCCTTTTTTTCCCTGTCAAGAAGTTGTTTTTAACCCAAGTATGTGAGCAAGGTAGGTTTTATATATAGTATACTAGATGTTCCTAAACAGAAATAGTTAATATCTGCAAAGGGCTACATGAACTACAAATATCTTGGTTCCTAAGATATTAATTTTAGAAAGAGAAAAAAGTAAAACCCCTATCCATCTTAGGTTAAATATTCAGAAATTTTATAGTTGCCACCTTGTGTTGTCAATTGCTTTATATATTTTTTTCCCTGTATAACTAGTCTGTGAGGGATGGAAGACAACAAATATGGGAATGGGGGGAGGACAAGGAAGCAGCTAAAGTGTACGCACATACCTATTATGCAGCACTTATTCTCTGTGTGATGATTTGGGGGATATGACTTCTTAGAAAGTTAGAACTGCAGTGGCAATATCAGTCAAAAAGAATTCACAGTACAGTTTTGTTTTGAGTGAATATATATATTCACTCAAACCTGGGATCCCAGCACTTCCTAAGCTAAGTGAACTTGGATAGGTACCTAATTCTAACTCTCAAGTCTCAGCTCTCATCTGTAACCAACACTAACCAACTCTAAGGGATATTGGATATTGTGAAGCTGAAATGGGATAATACATATTTATTTGTCTAGTTGTCTTTTTTTTTTTTGAGTTAGAGTCTCACTCTGTCGCCCAGACTGGAGTGCAGTGGCACACTCCCAGCCACCACAGCCTCAACCTGCTGGGCTCTGGCGATCCTTCCGCCTCAGCCTTCCAGGTAGCTGGAACTACAGGCGTGCGCTACCATGCCTGGCTAGTTTTTGATTTATTGTAGAGAGGTGGTCTTGCCAAGTTGCCCAGGTGGGTCTCGAACCCGCGGGCTCAGGCAATCCACTCGCCTCAGCCTCCCAAAGTGCTGGGATTATAGGCTGAGCCACCGAGCCCAGCCCGTCTGGATGTCTAATTGGCTTTCCCACTAGATTGTATTATACAAGACAAAAGCTGCACAGAATATCTTATGTACCACTGTCTAGTAAGTCCTTGGCAAAATGCTTGACATTATCAGTATACTATCATCAAGTACTTTGACAATTTCAGTTACAACAATACCATGGTCTTAGCACAGCATTGTAAATTTGATTATATTCTGAAGACATCACAGATTACTAGCTACTTCCTGATTTCATCATAAAACATTTATAAGACTATTGCTACCCCTCCACTAAAAGTTTCATTAATTATTATTATTATTTTTAGAAAGCGGGATTTATTTAGAGGACAGAAAAGTTTCCACAGTAAGAGGGGAACCAAAGGGGTTACCCAGTTTCATTAATTATAAGTGCCGTAAAGTCTTCTAAATGTGAATAAGAAAAACATGCCCTTGGAGACATTACATAGTTAAATCTATACTGCAAGGAAGGTGTAAATATAGTATCTTTTCCTCTCTAAAGAAGTATTTCTCAGCCAGGCTCGGTGGCTCAGCCTGTAATCCTGCGCCTTGGGAGGCTGAGGTGAGTGGATTGCCTGAGCCCGCGGGTTCAAGACCCGCCTGGGAAACTTGGCGAGACCTCATCTCTACAGTAAATAAAAAAAAATTAGCCAGGCATGGTGGCGCGCGCCTGTAGTTCCAGCTACTTGGAAGGATGAGGTGGAAGGATCGCCGGAGCCCAGCAGGCGAGGCTGTGGTGGCCGGGAGCGGCCACTGCACTCCAGTCTGGGTGACAGAGTGAGACTCCAACTCAAAAAAATAAAAAAAAGTATTTCTCAACCAAGGTGACTCTGCCTCCAAGGGACACATGGCAATACCTAGAGACATTTTTGACTGTTCCAACTAGGGGGCTGAGGGTACTACTAGGCATCTAGCAGGTGAAGGCTGGGAATACTGCTAAGCATTCTAGAATGCACAGAACCACTCATAACATACAATTATCTGGCTCAAAATGTCAAGAGTGTGGAAGAGTTGGAGGGTAGAAAACAGGCAAAAATTGTATAAACATTTACAAGTAAGGTTAGGTTTAACACTATCAGAGTTGATGTCTATTATTACAATTTATTCATTTTTACCAAGTTCTGGATTTTGAAAAAGAGATTTGAAAGGCTTTAATTTCTTTTCTCCAAAATTTATCAGTCATTGCTAGGCCACTGCCAGACCATTGCGGTTCATATGCTCTCTGAACCATGGCCAGGTCATGTTTCCTGGCTTTGGCCCTTCCCCTAGCTTGGGGAGGTTAATCTCTTCTTTTTCTCTCTCTCTAATTTACTTTCTAAATAAACTATATTTTCTAATCGAAAAAATTGAAATAAAATAAAATACATCCATTTTAATATAAAGAGAATGGTCCAAAATAAAGAGAATGGTCTCAAAATATTTCAGGTCAATGAAAACACATAAAAGTTTTCAAGCCGGGCTCGGTGGCTCAGCCTGTAATCCTGCGCCTTTGGAAGGCTAAGGTGAATGGATTGCCTGAGCCTGCGGGTTCGAGACCCGCCTGAGCAGCGAGGCCTCATCTCTACAATAAATCAGAAAAAATCAGCCGGGCGTGGTAGTGCATGCCTGTAATTCCGGCTACTCAGAAGGCTGAGGGGGAAGGATCGCTGGAGCCCAGCAGGCGAGGCTGCG